TGGTGTGTGTGTGTGGTGTGTGTGTGTGTGTGTGGTGTGTGTGTGGTGTGTTTGTGTGGTGTGTGGTGTGTGTGTGGTGTGTGTGTATGTGTGTGTGGTGTGTGTGAGGTGTGTTTGTTGTGGTGTGTGGTGTGTGGGTGTATGTGTGTGTGGTGTGTGTGTGTGTGTGGTGTGTGGTGTGTGTGGTGTGTGTGTTTGGTGTGTGGTGTGTGTGTGTGTGTGCTGTGTGTGTGTGTGGTGTGTATGTGTTGGTGGCCTTCCTTTTGCAGTATTTCCTATGTGCTCTGTGGAATTTTCCCTGATTAATTCACTTGATCTATAGGGTCTTGTTTGGTGAAGTCAGTGTTCTTGGGAAATTATCTACTATTTAGTTTAATTTTTTAGCTTAAAGTTGCTTAAGCTAATTTTAATTTCCTCTGTTTTAATAGTGTTTTGCCATCATGATGTGATATTTTATGTGTTTTTGACTAGCATTTCGTTTGGTTAGATTAGCTGGCATTGTCATTTACTTGGTTCCATTTTATTTTACATGAGTCAATTGGTTTATGTATTTGCTCAAATATTTGTGAGGGTTTTTTTTGTTTTGTTTTTCACATTTGTGTCATCCTTTTGAGACATGGTCTCCCTGTAGCCCCTACTGGCCTGGAACTTGTTATAGAGATTCGCCCGCCCGGCCTGTGCCTCTGCCTCCCAAGTGTGCTGAGATTAAAAGCATGTGCCACTATGCCTGTGCTTATATTTTTTAAGAACTAGCTTATTTATTTATTCAGTCATTAAGTTTTGCTTTCATGTTTATTCCTTTCTCCTCCAGCTTCTTTGATTTGCCTTATTAGGCTATTTCTAGTCTTTTGCCCGACATTCAAATTTCTTGAGATTCAAATTTCTTGAGATTCAAATTCTAGTGTTTGTCCGACATTCAAATTTCTTGAGGTTCAATGCTACTTTACTGCCTTGTGGGATAAAGTACTGCTGTTACAAATGTTCCTCTCTTCTAAGTGAGTTGGTCTTTTCTCCTCAGTAGTGAGGGATTTTTTCCACTATTTGTCAGTTACTAAGTCTGTGAGGATCCAGCTCTTATTGGCTGCTGGGGACACAGTTCACCAGGTGCACCCTATAATGCTTATTTTATTTAATCCTGTACTGTTCTGCTTTAGAATTATATCAGGACCTATTGTGCCAGGACTATCTTTACCCAGTCCACTGTTTGCTTATGGGTCCATCCATGCCTATTCATTCTGTCTCCCGTGCTCTACTCACCGTGCTAGCTCTTCAGCCTCCATCTTCCTTCTACCTGACTCTTCTTTCTATTTTTTTTCCTTTCTTTAAAATAATTTCTTCAACAGTTTTCTGCGGTTTTTCAGTTTGTTATTTAGACAACAATTTTATGCCTTCTTATTTCTCATGCTTATTACTCTGTTTTCTCTTTTCGTTATACTTCACTATGATGTCTATTTTTGATGTCCTTGTGTTTATACATTATCTGAATCATTCTAATCTCCAACATATTAATCTACAATATGTAAGGGCTGGATCTTTAGTCTTTGGTCTTATTCTTGTTTGCTCACAGGAAGTGGCAACTTCTCTTGCATTCTGCCTGGAGTGGCTTGTATAGATCAGTATAAGGATCTCTGCACTATTTTTACCGTGACATGTAACAATGCAGGTCATCTGTAGCCGAATATCAGAATTCTTCTAAACTTAGGGTCCTCTTACTCAGTCCTATCCATTGACCCCAGGACTCCTTTTATACTCAGTGTGGATTCTAATGCAGTTTTCATTTAATGTGTGTCTCTAGCTATCTGGAAAAGTCTTTTTCTTGCCTTATTTAGTTCTGCATTGCTACTCACTGCCCTGCAGTGCCATATCTGTGGTGAATTCGCTTTTAATTATGTTCTTTTCTTCTGTATTCACTTGCAATCTGTATCCTGTGGTGACTGTTAATGTTGACTGTCAGATCAAATCTAGGATCACCAAAGATACATGACTCTGGCATATTTCTGAAGGATTTTCTGGATTATGTTAACTGAGATTCAAAGACTCTCCTAAATAGGGGTAGCACCATCCCTGGGACTAGGGATCTGTACTGCATAATAAAGAGAAAGCATGCTGAGCACCAGCATTCCATGTTCTCTGCTTCCTGATTGTGCACGCAACACGGCCAGGCCAGCTGCCTCACACTCCTACTACCTATAGACCCTCATACTTTAGGCCAAAATAGCCCTTAATTCCTTATGCTATTTCTTGTTGAGTATTTTATCACAGCAGTGGGAACAGTAATTGATATATCTGCTGAGCTACACATACTTGTACAAATTTGGTCATTTATTCTTGGGTTTCTTTTCTGGGATTTCCTCTCTATATTCCTCTGGTACAAGCTAGTAATTTCTATGTTATAGGATTATGTTGGTACATGGGAGAGGTGAACACTTTCAGTGACCCCACTGACTGGATTTTACAGTGGTTCTAAAATTGCTGGTTCTTCCATAAAGCTGCTGGTCAATTTTTCTAAACACTAGGTTTAGATTAGCATTGGTTGAGAAACTGGCAACTATCAAAGGAGCCCACATTGGAAGAAAATTGATCTCGGGTAACTTCAGTATCCTGGATATTGTTTAGCTTTATTTTGTGTTCTGTGGTCCATTAGAGAGCTTCTGGATGACCCTATCACTTGTATACCTTGATCACACAACCTCTGTCGCTGCTGTGAAGGAGCCGATTTCAGGGTGGAATGCTTTGTCACTAAAGTCACCACTTGACTCCTTTAAGGTTTCAATTCCAATGAAACAAAGATATGATATTTTTACTAGATTAAAACTTTTTTCTTAGTTATGCACTAAGTTGGGATGTGAGTTTCATATAAAAATGACAGTAGGCACTGTTTTAATTGCCATAGTTTAAGAATGAAAAGAACTGAATTGCATTATATATAAACTGTGTAGAATTTGGGGCTGATCATCGTATTGTGATAATTAAGTGAGCAATGCCAACTGTTCATTTTAAAATGTGAAATCCAAATTATGGCTTCATCATCCCGCACCACACATTTCCCCAGCATGCACTTGATGAAAGGCAGTGAAGAGAGAAAATAGGCTTCTCATTACATTCTGGAACTTAAAATATAAACTTTTTAATCGGGCTTAGTTTTGGCAAAATGTTACCTGTCACATTATATTGATGTTGTTAATTTAAATTTTATTGCTTTGTAGTTTTGTGTTTGTTAATTTTTTTTTGCTTTCATAGTTGCATGAAAAATATTGAAGTGTTTTAGGGGTGAAAACATCAAAATTAAAACATACCTGTCCACAGAGACATCTTAGAGGACTGCATACTTCTCAAGAGTGGGTTGCTTTGCTCTCTTCAGTTAAACCTGAGAAAGTTTAAAAACTTTGGTTAGGCATCTATCTGCTAAAATCGTAGTTTTCAAACTTGCCACTTTAATTTGCTTGCCAGCAACACTCAGTTACCTCTCAATTTTCTTGTCTCTTCACTCAGAATAACTTGCAAAAGGGCAATAGGCTTGCTCACTTAAAGGCCTTGAGGCTGTATTTGTTCATACTTGTAGCTTGACATTCTGAATATGTGTGTTCTGTTTTAATCATCAGGTTATACATTTCCTGATAAGTTTTCACATAACTGTGACAGAGCCGTATTACAGATGTTTGTTTAATATATACTGATCTGCAGCTAAAATTTTCCTGAGAAATAGTCATATTTAGTTACTAGGTGAGCAACGGAAATTTGCCGTGTCTTTTGTGAAGACGACTACAGGTGAATAAGCTAGAGATTCAGGGAAGGCCAGCCTTCTATTTCTCAAATAATATTTTCTATGCATAAAACTACATTAGCTCATAACAAAATATTTACAAAGGCAAACTGGAATACTACTTTCAATCTGTCATACATAACTCTTCAGAATTATTCCTAGTTTGTATAGGCAGCATTGTGGAACACCTAAAATATATAGCTAATACATATCTGAAGTTATTGAATAACTACTAACTTCTAAAATTATGTACAACAAACTAAGCATAGAATTTTTAAAAACAAAAGCTTTTCCTTATCATTACTTGCTAATTTTTTTGACCTAGTCATTTGTCAAATATAGTAACTTATGCATAAAATATATCACTATTTGAAAATTAAGATAGTTAAGACTTAAATATCAGAGAGAAGTGTATATTTAAACCCAATGAGAGCTTCCATGTTTTCCTCTTTGTTGTCCAATAGTCATTTACTGCACAGCACAATGGGTTCATCACTCCCTAGAAGAAGGGAGATAAGGCCAAGCAGAGCACTGTGCCCAGAGGAAGCCTGTCCCACTTTGTGGAACAGGCCTGCACATGCAGGGACTCCTCACTTCTCAGGCTGGCATATGCCTGGAAACCTATCGGTTTGTATATTTTCAGAAAATAGGTTTTAATTTCAATTAAGTTAAGCATGAAAGCTAAGAATGTATTAAAACGAATTCTAACCAATTTCCCCAAATGTCACACAAACTATTACCATTTTCACAAATACAGCGTCTATGTAGTTCTACATAATAAAAAGAATCCCAAGGATGTGTACTTAGTTAGCCTCGTAGTGAGCAGAACGTGTGCAGTAAAATCATGTGAGAGTTCTCTCTGCTACATTTCACTCAGCTTCAGAGGACATCACCTGATCCCTTCATAGGTTCTTCAGAGAAAACGAACGCTTCTATGTGTATTTTAGGGGTGAGATGAAAGATTGTGATTGGTATATCAATTACATGATTAATCCTATACTCAGAGCAATTTAACCTTTCCAAAAAAGCACATAGAGAGTCACTGTAACAATTTGTCTGGTTTTACAGTGATTTGGGGGTATATATATTTTGTGACTATGAATAACAAATATTGGTAAGGAGCGTTCAGATAAAGAGAGATTTGCTGTCAGTGTTCTGTGGAAATACTTGAAAAGAGGTCTGTAAAACTAGAGAATGTGTACATACACATACACATACCTATGCCATGCATATGCATACAAACACACAGGCACATGCATACACAAAGTTATGTGCATACATATACACATGTATACACATGCACAAGCATATGCTCACATGCACATACACACGTACACATGTATGCATATACATACATATGCACACACATGCACAAGCATATGCTCACATGCACATGCACACATATGCACGCATACACACACATACACAAACACACACACACACTTACAAACATGCACATGAATGCATGCAGAGGTTGAAAACATTTGCTTGGTTGCTATCAGAAGGATCCGGAGAAAGAGTAGGAAGACTGAAAGATGAGCAAGTGTGTGTCGGGAGAGTGTGGAGGAGGGAGGAAAGGATTGTGCAGAGAAGAAAGGCCGCCTCTGACACACAGGCACAGAGCAGCCACTTGGGGAGCCCGAGGAGTCACAAGTGGCAGATGTACTGTGCTAAGGCAACAGCTGGTGAGGATTTGCAAAGGAAGTCATTGGTGACCTCTAGTAGGGCCCTGCCCTGCCTTGAGAGTTCCCACTTCATTCTGCGGTCAGTGAAGACACGTGGGGGATTTTGATCCATAAGTAAGAGGATCTGATTCATGCCTGAGATGTTCACCACTGCATGTTGGAGAGAGGAACTGCAGCAGATCTGCAGGATCTGAATTTTTAAACTGTTGTTACAGGAGTATATTTGTTTTAAGGATATTGCATTTTTTCATATTTCCCATGGTTGAAGGTTCCTGCCAATGAATTCTTCTTTCTCAATAATTTGTTTCTAATACCTACCCCCAATTACTCTCCCTAGAAGTATTCTGACTGACCAAATCCCTTGAAAAACATACTATTCGAATAATAAACATTTAAGTCATTAAAGTACATCTTGTATATGTCAGACTGAGAATTCTTCAAATGATTCTCAATTTTCTGTTGGTAAAAGTAGCATACATTCTCTGAACCCTGTTGGAGTAATAAATAATAATGCCAAGACACAGCGACAGATGGCCCCTGGACACTTAGGACGATAAATCACAGGCTCATGAAGCTACCAGAGCATATCATTTGTGGCTGCAAAATACAACCCTGTAAATGCATTTGGGTTTTTTGCTTGTTAAATATTAGCAAGGCACGTTTAGCTACTTTCTTATGCTGGATAATTGATTGGCAGCCTCCAACTGCTTATCTTTATACAAATTGACAGACAAGTCTTAAATAACTCATCTCCTCCCCTACAAGCGTGCTCATATCTGCTAGAACTCGAGCACTCTCTGCCCTCCACTTTTTGTCAATGTGTTGATATTCCACAGGGAAATTCTCTTACAAAATTCCCATCTTATTAAAATGTGCATTCTAAATTTGGAAAAGATTCCCACTTAACAATGAACTAGCACATCTTTATTATTCTTTGACATGTATGCCCCCGATTAAAGTCAACATACCTTTTCTTTGCAACTTAAGGAAAATTGCTTTACTTTTACTTCACTTGAAGTAAATTTCTGGTTACTTTCCCCACTAGCAGTGACTGGTCAAAAATGTTAAGGGTTTTGTGTTGCCCACTCTATGCTCTGCTTCTTGGAGGACAAGCTGGCTTAGGACCTAAAGAAATTTGCTATAGGAGGACCTCTGTTCCTAAGAAGTTGGATTCTTAGTGTGGCTAAGAGAACAAATAGATGCTTCCCTCTTATGGACTTACAGTTCTGCAATGTTTCATGAATTATTCGCCTAATAATTCCATTTAAAATGCTAAAAAAAAATACCTTATTTGAAAGTCCATGCCATTTCAATACAAAAAAAAGTGTGTATATTTTCTAGTGACTTAACCCTTAACTATTCTGACATTGCTATGTGAAATTTATTTTCAGGGGGATAGCTCCTATGTGAAAGACCGCTGGTGTGTTTTTGATGGCTTCATGGTCTTCTGCCTTTGGGTTTCACTTGTGTTGCAGGTAATTAAATATTTTTAAATCACAAGGGGGTGTTTCTCAATAAGGGCATTATCTTGCATGGAAAGTTTAACTAGACAGATTAAAGAATACATTTCAAATTAGATTGTGAATTTTCCTACAACATTATTTATTTTACATGTTCATGGATATAAAATTCTAATTATAACATTTAAATTATTGTTGATTACACTTATGGATTCTTCTCAGAAATTAAAATCGATACTAAAAGTATTTTTCTCAGGAAACAAATATAAAAATATAGTCATAAAAAGAAATAAAAGAAATGATGTGAAGTGAGCTTTCTGAGTTTGTAAAATCAAATATTTAATTTAAAAATTAAAAGTTCTAGTCTCTTGCATGACTAAATCCTTATTAAAAATCTGAATTGTTAATATTGAGATATATGTTGGTCAACACAAACTACTACATTGCAAATATAAATGACTTATAATAACTGGGATGTGCATGGTTTTTTAAAGAGAGAAAGTACAATGGGCAGCAAGAATATTCCTGGAAGCTGTTCATTCTTGACAGTCCAGAAAACTAATATAATTGAGAATTACCAAAATGTACCAAATCACAGTGAATTCAATACATATATCTCTTTCAGGCATGATTTTACACTTAATTAAAGTCATTTTATTCTTTAGATTTGCTTTGTTTTTATTTGATTCTAATAAGAACCCAAAAGGAGAGTTAACATTTTAACAAAAGTAAGTATTTAACATATTGTTGTTGACCATTGACTGTATGTGAGACCTCTGTTCCTGTACTCTACACTGTAATAATTCAGAATAGATAGGACTCTTGGTAGGGTAGCCAGACTCCCGTGGATGAACTCACACTAATTAAGATTAGGTCATTTTTCATAGTTTAGTAATATCTTAACTGTTTCTTCTCCTTTTTTTCTGGTATTTTTGAGACAGGGGCTCCCTGTAACCCCAGCTGGCCTGGAACTTGCTTGGGAGACCAGGTTGGCCTTGATCTCACAGAGATCCACCCGCTTCTGCCACCCAATTTCTGGGATTAAAGGTGTGTGCCACCCCATTCTGCTTTTTTATTTTATTTTCTAGTTATTAAGAGAACATTATTAGTGAGAAACAGAAGCTCAAAAATTAGCACTTTCTTTGATTTGTATATTTTTATTGAGTTTTTGTGCATTTCATACAATAGATCTTCATCAAATTTAAACCCCATCTGCATCCCCTATAGCTTCCCCTCCAGATTTCATGCATTTTGTCATATATGTTAAGTCCTATCCAGTCAAACATTTGTACCCAGATGTCCCTCTGTGCAAGTTCATCCACTGGAGTCTAGTCAGTCTACGTAGAGTCATTCCCTTAAAGAAGATCAACTCTTCCTTACCCAGGATTTGCCAGCAATTATTCAGCTAAGGTTTGGACCTCCTGCCCATTTCCACAGTTCTGTGCTAGGTTTTTGTCCGATTGACTTTCTTTTATGAAAAAAGAAAACAAAAAACGATGGCTTAAAGCATCAGAAAGTGAAGATTTACGACACTTTCATTAGTTTGTTTCTCTTAAAGTAGCAATAACTTCACATTGTGACCCTTGGTGGAATAACAAATTAGGGCACAGGTGCACTTTCTGGGGTTACCTGTGCATTCCATGACAAAAAGCAATGCTTCAGGAAGTCTAAGCATGTTCATCTCTCCATCTATAGGTGTTTGAAATTGCTGACATAGTTGATCAGATGTCACCTTGGGGCATGTTGCGGATCCCAAGGCCACTCATTATGATCCGAGCTTTCCGGATTTATTTCCGATTTGAACTGCCGAGGACCAGGATTACAAATATTTTAAAGTAAGCACCTGGTGTACAGGTTAAGGAAGAATGTTTCTGAAATATGTTTGGTGCATTTCATCTATTTTACCTAATTTTTTCCCCTAGGCGATCAGGAGAACAAATATGGAGTGTTTCGATTTTCCTACTTTTCTTTCTACTTCTTTATGGGATTTTAGGAGTTCAGATGTTTGGAACTTTTACCTATCACTGTGTAGTGAATGACACAAAACCAGGGTAAGTATATCTATTAGCTGAACTTTACATCTAGGTGATTAAGAAGGACATCTCTGAATCTTCTATTTAAAAAAATGACAACAGAAAAATTATGACAATTGTTTTACTTTTTCTTTGCTACCTCATCATTGTTTTAGCCAATTTTTGAGCCAAATGTTTACAGCAAACCAGATAAAAAAAAATATAAGCTGGTAGGAAAGAAGATTAAAAGAAGACAAAATGTACATTTTGAAACCTTTCTTGGCCTGTCCATATGGGGAATGTACTTACAAAACTTGGGAAGATTTACATGGAATTAAAGTGAGTTACATGAACAAAAAGAAGAAAAAAAACCCCACATTCTTATTAATAGTGCTGGTCATTCTTCCTAAAACATCTCCCTAAATGGTTATTTTATAGCAACATTTCTATATTAAAATACAGCTATCTGTTGCATCCATGTATTTTAAGGTTGGTGGGTTAGACAAGGCATGTGAGAATGAACTGGCTACTAAATGGTGCAGGTAGAACCTGCCTCTCCATACAGCTATCTGTTGCATCCATGTATTTTAAGGTTGGTGGGTTAGACAAGGAATGTGAGAATGAACTGGCTACTAAATGGTGCAGGTAGAACCTGCCTCTCCGCCTTCTTCAGTATCACTAACACTCAGCACTAGCCATGGGGTGATGAGAAGAAAAAGCAGAAGGAATTGTTGGCCCCTGGAGGTATTGACCCAGAGGTGTCCATTAGGTGATGGCTGGACATCAGAGTGTGGGATTCCAAGTTCAGCCCATAGGTGTGCAACAATTATGACTACATGTAGGGCAGAAAGCGTTGAGGCAATAGAATTGATTTTCACACCTTGTATTCATGTCTTTGAGCAGGAATTGATTTGCTTTAAAATTAAGAACTCACAAATAAGAAGTACAATCTTAATTTGGATAATAATTTGTAAATTCACAACACTGTGTTAAAATTAAGAGATTAATATATTTTAATGTGTTAATATTCATTAACAAATCAGGATTTAAAATATTACAACTGTTGCTGTACTGGAAGGGTTTTTTTTTTTTTTTCGTAAAGGATATAGACTTGTGTATGTACAAAGAAGATGAACCACAGGTAGAGCAATCCATGTGTGCATACAAATGCATATATACATCATGATGTGATTGACTTCATTTCAACATCTGTTTGTCTGAGGTTACATAAACTGCTTAGACTATTCTTCTGCTATGTGGATGTAATAGGAAGGCATACTTCCTAGAGCATGCAGGAAGATTACACCAGAAAATGACCATGTAGGCTTAAAAAGACGACGAGCACCGTGGAAAGGCATTCACTGAACTCTGTCAGTCTATTGTCTTTAAGAGACAGAGATACATTTACATGCTGAGATAACCTGTATAAATTTATTCTCTAAGCCAAGATGGTTAGGGAAAGATGAATGAAGTAGAGCACATCTAAAACTTCTAAGGACAGGAAAGGAAAGCATGTGCAAAGATGAATGGTCGTTAGCTTCCTAATAAATTAGCAAAATTAATTCTGCGGGTATTTCAAATTCATTTGTTTCTTCCAGAAAGAAACTATTAAGAATTGTACATCAGTTCATGCATATATAATAGAGGTGGATTTTATAACAGCTAACAGGTAAATAATGTGCTAGAAGTCAGAAATTATATTTATTATTTGGTCTCTCTTATCTCAAATAATGTAGAATACATAAGGGTAGATAATCTAGTTGTTTTTAGAGCAGAAAGCAGACACCGGTTTTCAAAAATGTAAATGAATGCAATAAATTGCAAAAATATAAGTATATCCTCACTGTTTAGAGGTTAAACACCAAAATATTATCTCTTAGCAAATGTGTTCATGTTCACCTTTAAATATTTTATTACACTCATTTATGCATGTATGTGTGTGTGGGTCATGTGCCGTGGCATGTGTGTGGAGGTCAGAAGGAAATCTGCAGGAGTCAGTTGTAATCGGTTCTGTCCTTGGATCATGTAGGTTCCAGGGATGAAACTTCTATCTTCAGGTTTGGTGGCATATACTTTTACTTTGAGCCATCTTGACAACCCTGCTTTGCCTTTATTTAGTAGGTATATACTTTCATATCACTTCTACCTAGAAGTTTGTCTTGGGTTCCTAGGAGAATGTGTGGCCACCCTCTTTGATTATGCACAATGAAATGCTGATAAAAGGAGCCATTTTTTGTCATCTAATGTAGTGCTTATTATTGTAGCAATTTTGTACTGTAATTTTTTAACTCATTGTGCAGCTAAGGATGACTTTGAATTTCTTACTCTCCTGTCTTTACCTACCAGTGCTGAAACTGCAGGCATGTTTCACCATGCCCAGTTACAGGCAATGCTGAGGACTGAACACAAGATCTTATGCATGCTGGCAAGCATTCTTCCAACTGAGCTGTGTACTCAGCCCCTGCACTCTTATTTTGAATGAGTTGTCTACCCAAAATATAGCTTTTAAGAAAAGAGAGTAGAGGGTGAAAGCATGACTTAGAACAAATTATAATAGCATGTATGTATGAACATGCAACTATGAAACCCATTACTTTAAAAAATTAATTTTAAAAAAGGAAAAGAAAATCATTAGTGACTAAACCCACATCTACTCTCCAGCTTTACTCCTCAAAATAGCCTTAAAAAGTAATTATTACAATAACTTCCGGAACCTCTTATTTTCCTGCTATCATAATTCTATTCCTCTTTTGTTTAGCAATTTTATTGAAGTTGTGTAGGCATATAGAAGCTTATAAATAAAAATTTTTGTATGTCTGCAATGCATAATTTTTTAGCCATCAGAATAAAATCTAGAGAGCATTTCATTCATTTTCTTCTTCCTGAAGTGCATGGTCCTTCTCAAGTTAGTTTCTGTGTTTTGTATGAATTAGGGATTGAAGTTCATTCTACATCTCTGGATAGAGCAGAAATCAGCATCTTATTTCTTAAGTTAGAAGAAAAGCTTGCAGAATGCTGTGTGATATTAATTGTATAAATTCACATCAAGAAATTTCTCTTTAATTTCTATACTACAGAGAAATTTTAGTCATCAATTTTGCCAAATTTTGTATACCACTTTTACCAAAAATATTGATATACATGATACGTCTCCTTTGTTCCAGTAGTGTAACGAATTGTATGATTGGGTTTTGAATATTAAACCAGTCTTGCACTTCTGACCTACAGCTGATTTGATCACACTGTATTTCTGTCTCTGTGTTGTAGATTTGATTTGCTAATGTTCTCATTAGAAGTTATTGCAACTTTGTTCACAAGAAACGTTATTCTTGGTTTTCATAAAATGTTTTTGCAGCGTTTTGAAATCAAGGTAATGCTGTTCTCATATAACAAATGGGAACTATTACTTTTTTATTTTTAAAATACATTTTATTTATTCTTGGAAAATTTTATACATGTATCTACCTGCATTCCTCCCCTCTAGCTGCCCCTGACACTTCTTAACTTCGTGAATTTTGTAAAAGAATTTATTTGTAGCACACTTAGTCCAACTAGCTCTGACCAGAGATTAAAATTAAACTATGATTGATACACTGTCTTCCTTTCTTCTTTGATAGAAGTTATCTCTGAACTTAGTTTTATTTGCTGTTGTAGTTAGGTGAATGGAAGAAGGTTTTTCCATTATGAACTAAGCATAATTATCATGTTAAGATTTGATTTTACCTTGTAAGCTTTGGCAAAGTTTGTTTTCACAGAAAATGCCTATATATTCTTGTATATTGTCAACATCGGCCTAGTGTTTATAAAATACTTCCTGATTGTCCTTTTAATATTTGTTGGATCAGTGGAAATAAGGCATGCTACATTCTTGATATTAGTAAGATATGTATATATATTTTTTAATTTTAAAAAGTTATTGAATTTTTCAATTTTCAAACAATACAGTTTGATGTTATTTAGATCCCCTCACCTCTCTGCACCTCCCCTCACTGTCCCTGCCCAATTTAATGTACTCTTTTATATATTTAATACAGCCTATAAAGTCTGATTTGTGTGTTCAATGTTTTAATATTAACTGAAATGAACTAAAACAAATTATCATTTCAATAAAAAAAATCAGGAATAAACTCAAATCTAACTTTTACTTTCAGTCATTAAACAGATATGTTTACTGGATATGATATTGTTTGAAAGGATATGGGCATAGATTTTTTAAAATATTATTTTATTTCCTTCTTTTATATCTTATAATTAACTATAGAAACACATGATTTTAGTAGCAGGGATCAAATCTAAGATCTTACACATGCTAGGCAAATATTCTACATTTGCCCAGTACAATTACTGCATCAAAAATAATTTAAGATTTATTCTTTTTCTTAACTTCGTTTTATTGAATTTTTGTGTATTTCATACAGAACATCTCAATCAATCTAAATCATCTTCATACACCCTTCCCCACTGGTAGTCTCACATAGAACCCCCACTGGAATTTAAACATCCTGTCATTTGTGTTAAGGCCTATTGTGTCAGTTAGTGTTCCCAGACTTTCCTCAGTACAAGTTTATCTACTGAGGTCTAGTCAGCTTATGTAGAGTCCCTCACTTTAGGAAGATCGGTTCTTCCTCACCTAGCAGTAATCAGTTATCAATATTTCTTCAGCTAAGATTTGGGTCTGCTGTCCATTTCTCCAGTTCTATACTGGGTTTTTGTCTGCTTGAATTTTCATGGAACTTGTGCGTGCTGACACCATTGCTATAGATTCATATGAGCAGGGTCCCAGGAGCTTATAGGACTCTATTTCCATATGGTTGTGCACCTCCTCCCTGGCTCTTACAATCTCTCTGTGCCCTCTTCCACAATGCTCCCTGAGCCCTGGATGGAGAAGTTTAATATAGGAGTTCTGTCTAAGGACAAGCATTCTACAGACTCTTAATCTCTACACTTTGACCATTTGTGACCTTTTGTGTTCCTGGCCCTCTATTGCATTTATGAGAACTGGGAGATTTCATTAGTGTCCTCTTTACTCCTGTTCTACG